CTCCCCTACAGGAGAGGAACCTAGCAACGGATTCCCATTGGGGAGGCTGCAATAGCCCCGTTTACATGCTAGAAGGTGAAGCTCAGAGAGCTGGAGTGAGCTGGTAGGTCTCTGACCTCGAGGCCAGGGAGGAGGGTGGCAAGGTCACCTGGGCCCTAAACTCTCCTCCTGCTGTCCCCTCCCTGCCTCTGGCACCCAGGTCAAGCAGCACCCCAGGCACTCTAGGAGCCCCACACCACTGCCCATTCCCCTTCCACGGAGCTTTCGGGCCTGAGGGGGCGGCCAGGGCCACAAGGACACCCCTCAGCCAAGGAGGGTCTGCGTCAGGCCAGGGGTGGTAGCTGAGGAACGGAGCTGAGACTCCACAGGAAAGCTGACAGCAGCCACTCCAGTCCTGGCCTGTGCCCTTGTGGGTCCCTCCGCCTGGAGCCCTGTCACCAGAGGGTGGGGAGGAGGCTCACTTCTGCATCCTGGCATTTTCTTCTCAAATCCCACCTGACCTGAGTCTCCTGGCACCAGGCACAGAATGCAGGGCTGTCCTGCCCGCCTTGGAGTCCCCCCTCCTCCTTTAAGATGTGTTATTTTCCCCATACTCAGCACCAGCTGACATACTATTTATGGTCTTCATGGTCTGTCCCTCCCCTGTAGAAATTAACTCCAAGAACATTTTGTTCACATAATCACCACCACCAAGACCCCTTCTTGAGGTTCAATAGGTTCTCCATAGGTGGGAACATAGAGATACATGAAATTTTTATAAAGGTATCTTAAAAGTACATGATTTTTTTTTAAACAGGATCTCATTATGTAATTCATGTTGGCCATAAACTCACTATGTACCCCAGGCTGTCCTCAAACTCATGGCAATCCTCCTGCCTCAGCCTCCCAAGTGCTGGGATTATGGACATGCACCACCATGCCTGGCTTTTTTTTCCCCTGAATATAGTTTTCCTCACAACCACCACACAGTTCAAGCTATAGAATATGTCCAGAAAGCACCCTATGTCCCCACACACTATTACACTTACTTCCTTAGCACTGATTAGTTTTGCCTGTCCCTGAACTTCTTTTAAATGAATGACAACATCAAATATGCTCCTTTGCTTGGCTTTCTTTGCTCAACAGAACATCTACAAGACCTGGCCGTGTTGTGTGACACAGTGATCCACCTACTCTTCCTTTTCACTGCTGCTCAGTCACACACCTGCTACCATGTATTTCTCACACCCTGGCTGGGGGCGCTGGAGCTGTACCAGTGGGGGCTATGAGTGCTCCCACATGCCTTCTGGTGGACATGTGCCCTTGCTTCTCTTGGTAGAGACCTATGACTGGAACTGCTGGGGCACAGGGAAAATGCATGTGCTACTGCACTTAATAAGAAAGTGTTTTCCGAAGCGATTGTCCTCCTTGACATATGAATTGTGTTACCACTTCTGCTCCGGCACTTGGTGAGGTCAGACTTTCTCATTTCAGGCTCCTGCCAGGTGACGAGCATCTCCTGGTAGTAAGGGTAGGCGCTCAATAACCCCTGCTGAATGGATTCTACACTGGGCTATGGAGCAGCCCTCTACTTGGCAGGGAGGGTCACAGTCCTTGGCTGCCACACTGGCCTTGGAAGCCGCTCCCCATTTCACACCCATGTCCCACGGCACAGTCAAGACCAGGCTGAGATGTTCAGGCAGGACTTGCTCCCAGGCTCAAAGCTCCCTGATGGCTGGAGAATACTCAGTCCCAGCAGGGCTCCTCAGGCAGGGCTTGACAGGCTGTCTTTCCTTGATGTTCAGTGGCAGCAGCAGGGCCAGTCACTCCCAGAAGGTACCTGGAGGCCCAGCTCAGAAGTGCGTCTCTTGTGGCCCCTGCCCTCTGAGTCAGAAGGCCGCACTCCAAAAGGCCGGGACAGGCCCTTCTCACTAGCCTGGAAGGACCACATGGCTGGTTGGCTCAGGTGGGACCTTGTGATCAGCATCAGCCAGTGAGAAAAGAGCAGAGGTACTGGGCCACTCCCAGTCCTGACCCATAAAACCTCCATGAGCTCTGAGCTTTCCTCTTCCACAGGGACCTTGAAAGTCAAGGTTGAGGGTGGTGGGGCCACAAGAGTCAAGGCCCTAAAGTCCTTGGAGAAGTGCTGCCCAGTGATCACATAAATCCCATTATAAACTTTGTATGATACGCAAACCTCCACTGCATTTGAGCCTGTGTGTTTTGGGTTTGTTATATCAGCAAGCTCACTCTAATACAGGTATAACTACTATCTATAGTAGAGGATGGCAAAGTAACACAGGAAATAACTAATTCCACTTTGCAGAGGAGAAAACTGAGACACAGAAAAACTACAGAGCTTTTCTGAGGCTAGTGAGTGAAGAAGTCAAGATTTGAATCCAGGTCCTGGTTCCAGAGATGCCTCAAAGCTAAACCAACAGCCCAAGAACAAAGAGAGAAGAGACAAAAATAAGTAAAAACAATTGAGATGTGTTATTTGCATGTACCAACTGCCCACGAGGAATGTAATCATTATGTACTGCAAAAGCATACTAATAAAAAAATTTAAAAAACAAAAAAACCCAGACGGTCAGGCCAGCTGCTCCAGGGGCATCCTCACACCCACCTGTGCCTCCTTGGGCCTTTTGCCTGGATGAAGGGGAGGCTGCTCGCTGCACCCCAGCCCCCTCGCCTTCTTGCCATCCTCTGGCCCTCTCAGCTCAGAACCCACATTTTGGATGTACTTTATCAACAGGCTCTCCTTTCCCACTCCCACTCCTCGGCCCTGCTTGGCACAGCCTCCACTCTGGTGACCCTGAGTATCTCATTCCCTGGCTGTGCCCCCAACCTGCTGCTAGGAACACCGCCCGAGACCACCTTCCATTCACAGTCCCCGTGTCACCCAAAGCTCTTACAATGAATAGAAACCCAACGGTGTAGCAAGGGAAATATTTATTGGCTTGGGTCACTAAGAAGTCCAGGCATCTGGAGGGACTGGACAGGTGTTCACATGCCATGAGATGCTACCTTTGCCCCTTCACACTCAGGCAGGATGGCTCCTTGGGGTGGCCAATGGCTTTCATAGCTCCCGGCCCACGCTAGTGTGGCTGCTGCTATCCTCCTCCACCAGTGACCTTGTCAGAACCCTTTTCACATAGTCCTACCTAAAGTCCTGAGGTTCAACCCCACCCCACACCAGTCACTGTGTGCAGAGTGTGGGTGATGTGACTGGCCAGGCTGGTGCCCCATGCCCACCCTCAGCTGGGGCAGAGTTCTTCAATGAGAAACAGAAGCTCTGTGACCATGGCAGGTGTGGACGGGAGGCAGACAGGGCCCCCAGAGGTGCGCTCTCCAGCTCTCTAGATGTCTACCCAGCCACCTTGTTCCACGCCTCAGGTCGCCACCCCAGCCACTCTCCTGGGCAGCATCTCAGCCACCTCCCCTCGTGCAGCGTAGGTAACCCTGCTTCCTGGTTCACAGAGGAGTCGCCACTGGGTAAAACCTGCAAGCACCTCAATGTTCCCTTTAAAACCTATCCTAGGCACGGTGGCGCACACCTGTAATCCCAGCACTCAGGATGCCAAAGCAGGAGGATCGCTGTGAGTTTGAGGACACTCTGTGCTACACAGGGAGTTCAAGGTCAGCCTGAACTATACAGTGAGAGCCTGTCTCTAAAAAAACAAAAAAACAAAAAACCCTGAGATTGGAGTCTGTTTCAAACCTCTCCACCTCCATCTGTGAATTCTACTCTCCCGTCCTGCTTCTTCAGCCCCTCCCTCTTAGAACTCGGGTTTCTGCCATCATTTTTTCTTGCAGTGCTGAGGATGAAGTATGCTGGGGATGGAGCCCAGGGCCTCTGCATGCTAGGCACATGTTCCGCCACATTAAAAAACAAAAACCACACTCTGCTCCTTCAGTCCCCTCAGCCCGCAGCATGGTCCCCAGTTTCTCACCTCAGCTCCCTCTCCCAGATCAACAGCCAGCAGGGTACTGAAACAGCTCCAGCGAAGATTCCCCCAATGCCCAGATACCTCGAAAGCATCATCTCCTTGTCCCCAGCATCTGACAGCTGACCTCTCTCTTTCAGGTGCATCTGGGAGCCCTAGGGTCTAGCTGCTCCTTTCCCCTGCGGTGACCTCTCCACCTGGGGAGGTTACCTGTCTCTAGGCCTCTACATCTACGTGCACACTCAACACCTCCCTGCGTACCCTCATGGGCACCCCAAATTCATCACAGCCAAATGTGATCACAGCCAGACGCTTTCTTCCTCCCGTACCCCCCAGTTGGGGAAGGGCCTCTGCCCCTGCCAAAGTTGCTGCAGAGAGAAATTAGGGTGTAGTCATTAAGGGTTCCCTCCCTCTCACCCCCTCTTATGTCTAAGGTCAAAACAGACCCATTGCCACACTCTGTACCCCTGCCTCATCATCTTGCTTCAAATGCCATCATCCTCACCTGGCCTCCCAAGAGGCCACGAGAGTCTGGATGTTTCTGCCCATCCAGAGGAAGCCAGCAATCTCATCCAAATCAGATGTACCTATGACCCCCCAACCCCAAGAGTACCACATGCCCTACTTGCCTACTCCCTGGCCTCACTAAGCTGCTGCTTCCCACAGGCCTGTGTCTTCCTGGGGGACAAGTGTCATTGCTGGGCTCCAAAGCTGCCTCTACCACTCACGCACCTCTGCTCCTGCTGCTCCTTCCCATCACTCTCCACTGCACCAGGCACAGGGCTCTGTATCTGCAAGGTCCAATCTCACCACTTGTCTGTCCCTTCACAACCCAGAGAAGGGCAGAGTCCTGCCCAGGATCACACAGCAGTGAGCCTGCTATCTTGGAGCACATCCAGCACCTGCTGGCTCAGGCCCCTGGTCCCTCCTCCCATCAGAACTCCATGGCCTGCAGCCTCCCCAGCGGACTCCCCACCTCACTCAGCCACTGCCAGGCCACCAGTCGCTGGCCCCAGCTCCTCATGGGAGATGGGTGATGGGTGGTAAAGTAGCCACAAAGCTCTGAACACAGGCTGGAAAGACACATTCCCTTTTATTATTTTATTAATAAATTTAAGAACACTTCCATATTCTCTCCTCCCCCCAGAGCAACTAAAACCAACTAAAAAGGGGTATGGTCTGGGGGGCAGAGGGCGCTAGGAGTCATAGTCCTCTTCATCCTCTGCATCAGGTGCTGAGGGAGCTGGGGGTGCCGGGGGCAAAGGCAGAGTAGAGGCAAAGGGCATGAAGGGGGCTGAAGGGCTGCAGAGCAGAAAGCAGGAGGAAAATCAGGCCATGTTCGGTGCCCACCCCTACCCGGGGGCCCACCCTGCCCTCTACAGAGGCTGCTGTGAAGCCCACCACCTTCCGTAACAGGGCAGCCAAGCCCCAAGTAAGGAGGGGCCCAAAGCAGATCACACAGCCCTGACCAGAGTGGGGACAAAACCCTCTCAGACAACAGTCTCCTGCTTTCTGCCCCTTTCAGTTACTCCCCATCCCCCAAGTCTGCCACAACCAACAAACTAGGTGGCCAGTCAGATGAAAGGGAAACCAGCCAACAAACCAGGTGGCCTTAGACAGTGCAGTAGGCCCCTCTGGTGCCCCGGGGCTGCTTACCTCTGAAAGGGGGCAGGAGGGTGGCTGGCCTGGGGTGGAGGCTGGGGTGTCTCTTCTTCCCCATCAGTATCTGTGTCCTCGGACTCATCCTGTGAGCACAGCAGGGGTCAGGACTGACAGGAGGTGGACACCCACCACTTGGGAGCGGCACAGATAGGAAAAGCAGACTCCTAGGGCCTCAACTTTCACATATAGCCCAAAGCACAAGACGTCACAGATAAGGATGAGATCAGCCTGCTGCCCACTTCAGCCTGGTGCATGGCTGCCCTTCCTACCACCACAAGGCAGGTCAGAGTGTTGGGGATCTCACTCACCTCCTGCTCAGAGTCTGTCCCGGACAGCTTCTTGTCCTTGCCTTTGCTTCCCATCCCACCATTCTTCCGGCCACTGCTGCCTGGCTTCCGTCCCCTTCGGGAAGGTACAGTCCATCTGCCCAGAGGTCTCCCCACTCCTTGGCTACCCCCCAACCACCCCCAACCCTGTGGCCTTGGCCTTCCCCACCTGCATACCATGCCCTGACCCCCCACCTGCGAGGACCCTTGTCTCCGTCCATGTGGTTGTCTTCCCCATCCCCCTGCATGTCAGGCACCGACGCCACCAAGTCCTTCAAAAAGTCAAACTGCTGCTCCAGCTCAATGCATTGCTTCCTGGAAGAGGTGGGGAGGGAGGCGTTCACGTGGGGCCTGGACGCTGAGGCTCTCAGCGAGGGACACCCAGCGCCCTGGATGTCAGGAGAACGAAGCTGGAAAACTCCCTCCCCATGTCCACACCCGCTCTGCTCGGGCTGTAGCCCTGCCTGGGTTCCCAGCCCCTCTCCACCCGCTCAGAGGCCTCGTGGACCCCCGCAGCCTCCCGCCTCCCCGGCTGCCAGGACGCCGCTTCCCCGCCGCCCCTCCCAGCTCCGCGGCCACTCACAGGTGGGACGTGGTCATGGTTTTGGCGTTGCGGGACTGGGTCACTTGGCAGGCCTTCTTCAACAGCGACTCCAGAAAGAGCTCGAGCGCCCGGGCTGGAGGGCGTCAAGGAGAACGCGGGAAGGGGTGGCGCCCTGCCCCGCCCCGCGCCCCCCCACCCGGCCAGCCCCGACGGGATACAGATGATGACAGGCACGGCGGCCGCCACCTTCCCGATCTCCTCGTCCGTCTGCATGATCTTCTTGATCCGCGCCTGCGGAAGGGGGCCGAGTTCGGGCGCCGTCCCCTTCGGCCCCGGCCCCGAAAGGGTACGGGGGGCAGCCGGAGGGGACCCCGGGAGGCAGGGGGCGGGGGGCCCGGGCGCCGGGAGGGCACGGAAGGGGCGTGGCCTGCGGGCCCCCGACACCCAGATGCGCCCGCCCCCCGGTGGGGCCCGGGCCCCAAATTCTCCGGAGCCCGGCCCGCTCCCGCCCGGCCGGGCCACGTGCTCACCGGCGGGAAGCGGGCATTGTACTTCTTCTTCTTGCTCGGCATCTCAGGGCCTCTCTCGCAGCGCCGGGCCCAGCACCGCCGCCCGAAGCCTCCCGGCCCCGGGGCCTGCTCGCCGCCCGCCCGTCGCCGTCCCCCGGGT